ATTGACACCCCTCCCCCGAACCCCTTTTATAATCTTTAAAATAAAAATTAAAGGGAGGTTTTAAAAATGTGAAGATTTCTGGATCACAAGTTTCTTTCCTTAGAGGGCCCTGACTGACAGGCCTGGGGGGGGGGGGTGTCAAGCAAAATGATGACCTCACAAGAGCCCGCCTCTCTTAGAGTGACCAAGATTTCCAAACAATAGACTATCTGACCTGAATTATTTAGGATTATTATCTGTTCATAATTATGATTAATAATTATTGATCACTATTATAAACCGATTGAAGTTTGCTTCTTTAGTTTCCCGTGACTATCACTCAGTGTTGTATCCTATGATTTATGGTGAATGTATTTTTAGGATGACTTATGATTCTGATTTATCACTTCTAGCTTTTATGTACACTGAGAGTTTATGCGCAGGAGACAAAATTCCTTCTGTGGGTCCAAGCATACCAGGAGATGGTGAGTTCTAGCCCCGCCTTAGGCATGAAAGCCAGTGGGTGACTTTGGTCCAATCACCAGGAGAATGGGAGTTTTAGTCCCACCTTAGACATGAAAGCCAGCTGGGTGACTTGGAACTTGAAAGATTAGCAACACTATCTGGCCAAAAGCATGGCCAGAATTTGAGAAATACTGGTGGACTATGAGTCCATTGTCTATGGCTGTGGATTACCCATGTAATTTCTGTTACCCCAGAAATAGTGGAACAGAATAACAGAGTTGGAAGGGACCCTAGAGGTCTTAGTCCAACCCCCTGCTCAGGCAGGAAACCATACACCATTTCAGACAAATGGCTGTGGCAAGCAGTTCCACGGGTTACTTGTCATCACTGTCAGGAAATTCCTCCTTAATTCCAGGTTGCTTCTCTCCTGGATTAGTTTCCGTCCGTTGCTTCTCCTGCATTCAGGTGCTTTGGAGAATAGCTTGAGCCCCTCTTCTTCTTTGGGGCAGCCCCTCAAATACTGGAAGATGCCATCATGTCCCCCTCAGTCCTTCTTTTCATTAAATTGAATACATTCAATTCCTGAAACCGTGCTTCGTATATTTTATTCTCCGGTCCTCTAATCCTTTTTCTTGCTCTTCTCTGTACTCTTTCCAGAATCTCATCCTCTCTTTTTTTTATATTTTATGGCGATGTAAAAAAAAAAACCCCAAGTCCCCATTTCTGTGGGTCAGGCAGTGCCCCATCTAGTTGCTCTTCCAATTATTTATGTATGTTTTATTTTATTATTATTTTTAGCATTATAAGGTATGTTAGAAAATTATTTATATATGTCATTGCATTGTAATTCATCGATGAATTACATAATGCAAATGCTTCTTTTAAGCATGAAAAGTTTAACAGAATACACAAAAAATAAGATTCATTACTTTGAACAAACCCTTCGTTTTTTCTTATTTTTGCAGGACTGTTTTTTTTCATTGTGGCTTCTGATTTTTGGTTTGTTCTGTTATTTGGTGTTACTTCAGGTTCTAGAATAACAACATCCCCCTCTTCACTGTCCAATAATATGATTGCTTCTCCTTTTTCATTTTTGGCTCCAATATGAACATCTCCCATTTCTAGATAGAAGATAGATAGATAGATAGATAGATAGATAGATAGATAGATAGATAGATAGATAGATAGATAGATATAGATATAATCTTCTACTGTTAGAGATTCATCCTGGCCATTTTGCTCTTCCATCTTATTTATTTATGTATGTTTTATTGATCCCATTTATTGACTGCCCATCATTACCACATGGTAACTCTGGACAGCTATGATTAAAAACAATTAGAGTTTGTTTGTTTTTCCCCTAGCATTCAGTTGCAAAACCACCACACACCCTTTTTTGGGGGGGGATATTTTTGCATCCGGTAAGCCAAAGGTCAGGGACTTCTGATATTTTGCAATCTGCCCATGTTATCAGTCCAGGTATCCTGTTGGTTTTATCTAGGATTAAATAAACTCAGCTCCTTTATCTCTCTCTCTCTTCTTCCAATTCCCTGACTCATACAACCTAATGTAGACTGTGTTGTTTCTGTCATAAAATGTATGGGGGTATATGCCTAATTTTGTATTTATCTACTGTAGTAGCTACTGAGATCCTATAGATGGCGCTAGATGCTAGCAGCAAATGGCAGTGTCTCAGATACCAATGGAACCTCTTTGTTACATGATCTCATCCTCTATCTGTTGGGTTGAAAAGTCCCAGACTTTCTGGACTTACAGGTGATCTCATTTACTAACATCACCACTAGTCTTAAGGATTGGTTGGGAGGTTGTACCAATGTGGTTAGGAGATTTCACCCATGTGGTATCTATTCTCCAATCCAGATGCTGTATCTATGTTGCCTTTGTCTTCTTGTAAAAAACCTATCAATGTAATAAATGCTGCCCATGCAGTGAGACATCTTGGCACCCTGCACAATGACTGGTCTTTGATATCCATCAATCTACGTATTCATTTTGTCATGTTTATGTAGTGTAAATTACAACATCTCATTTTAATGTATGCCAATTAGTGTACACGCAAAATGACAATAAAATTATATTATATATATATATCTTCTTCTATATATATAAAAGCGAAAGACCACTCATGCATCATCACAAAATCTCCACAACTGTCAAGCCTACAAACTTGAAATTGGGCACATATGTTCCTCTTGGCTTCTAGGGGCTCACTAAGAAAGGATTTTTCCAAATACCCATCAGAGCATTTAAGAGTATTTCCTATATTATTATTATTATTATTATTATTATTATTATTATTATTATTATTATTATTATTATTATTATTATTATCTGATGCTAAGGGGTTCCATTCACCCTCCCCACCTGAAAAGAAATCTGCTCCAAATGCAAAACACAAGCAGAGGAGAGCAGTTTCAGTTTCAGTTTCAGAGCACCAAGCAGCTTTAGTCCAGAACAGTTGAGCTAAGCCACGCCCAGGCTCCTTGCTGTCTCCTTCTTGCTCACACAGCAAATAGTTTCAGTTTCCAAACAGCCCTCAACTCTCTCTCACTCACTGTCAGGACGCTAGCCAGATGAATACCAATGGATGCTGTAATAGACAGTGTACTGTCTCGATCATTTTACATACATACATACACACACTGCTCAAAAAAATAAAGGGAACACTTAAACAACACAATGTAACTCCAAGTCAATCACACTTCTGTGAAATTAAACTGTCCACTTAGGTGGCAACACTGATTGACAATCAATTTCACATGCTGTTGTGCAAATGGAATAGACAACAGGTGGAAAGCATAGGCAGTTAGCAAGACATCCCCAATAAAGGAGTGGTTCTGCAGGTGGTGACCACAGACCACTTCTCAGTTCCTATGCTTTCTGGCTGATGGTTTGGTCACTTTTGAATGCTGGCAGTGCTTTCACTCTAGTGGTAGCATGAGATGGAGTCTACAACCCATACAAGTGGCTCAACTCATCCAGGATGGCACATCAATGCGAGCTGTGGAAAGAAGGTTTGCTGTGTCTGTCAGCATAGTGTCCAGAGCATGGAGGTGCTACCAGGAGACAGGCTAGTACATCAGGAGACGTGGAGGAAGCCGTAGGAGGGCAACAACCCAGCATCAGGACCGCTACCTCCGCCTTTGTGCAAGGAGGGACAGGAGGAGCACTGCCAGAGCCCTGCAAAATGACCTCCAGCGGGCCACAAATGTGCATGTGGCTGCTCAAATGGTCAGAAACAGACTCCATGAGGGTGGTATGAGGGCCTGACGTCCACAGGTGGGGGTTGTGCTTACAGCCCAACACTGTGCAGGACATTTGGCATTTGCCAGAGAACACCAAGATTGGCAAATTCGCCACTGGCGCCCTGTGCTCTTCACAGATGAAAGCAGGTTCACACTGAGCACATGTGACAGACCTGACAGGGTCTGGAGACGCTGTGGAGAACGTTCTGCCTGAAACATCCTCCAGCATGACCGGTTTGGCAGTGGGTCAGTAATGGTGTGGGGTGGCATTTCTTTAGAGGGCTGCACAGCCCTCCGTGTGCTCGCCAGAGGTAGCCTGACTGCCATTAGGTACCGAGATATCCTCAGACCCCTTGTGAGACCATATGCTGGTGCGGTTGGCCCTGAGTTCCTCCTAATGCACAATGCAAGACCTCATGTGGCTGGAGTGTGTCAGCAGTTCTGCAAGACGAAGGCATTGATGCTATGGACTGGCCCACCCATTCCCCAGACCTGAATCCAATTGAGCATACCTGGGACATCTTGTCTCGCTCCATCCACCAATGCCACGTTGCACCACAGACTGTCCAGGAGTTGGGGGATGCTTTAGTCCAGGTCTGGGAGGAGATCCCTCAGGAGACCATCCGCCACCTCATCAGGAGCATGCCCAGGCGTTGTAGGGAGGTCATACAGGCACGTGGAGGCCACACACACTACTGAGACTCATTTTTACTTGTTTTAAGGACATTACATCACCGTTGGATCAGCCTGTAGTGTTTTTTTCCACTTTAATTTTGAGTGTAACTCCAAATCCAGACCTCCATGGGTTGCTAAATTTGATTTCCATTGATATTTTTTGAATGATTTTGTTGTCAGCACATTCAACTATGTAATGAACATAGTATTTAATAAGAATATTTCATTCATTCAGCTCTAGGATGTCTTATTTTTATGTTCCCTTTATTTTTTTAAGCAGTGTATATAGAGACAGAGACAGGTGGATAGAGATAGAGGAGAGATGATATAGAGATAAGTAAGATAGAGTTATAGGGATATAGAGATGATATAGAGAAATAATATATCGACAGAGATATAGAGAGGATAGACAGATGATAGACAGATATATAGAGATAGAGATATAGAGGATAGAGACATAGAAATAATAAGAGATATAGAGACAAATTGAAATAGAGATAGAGATGATAGATGATAGATAGAAATAAGAGATGATAGGGATAGAAAGATATGAGAAACAGAAAGTGAGATTATATATATATATATATATATATATATATATATATAGAGAGAGAGAGAGAGAGAGAGAGAGAGAGAGAGAGAGAGAGAGAGAAATCTTTTCTATTTTTATTTCCATTATCTAGGGCAGTGTTTGTCAATCTTAGTAAGTTTGTGTGGATTTCAACTTCCAGAATTCCCCAGGCACATCATCAGATTTCTGTTTAATTGGGGGTGTTCAACGTGTTATTAATTTAGCTTGAACGGAATATATGTAGGGTTGAACTGAGGAGGTCCTAGGTACTCTCTGAACTTGGTGGTTTTCTTGCAGGCGTTTCATGTCCCAACTAGGGAACATCATCAGTGCTAGAAGGGAGAGAGGAGGAGGAGGAGGAGGAGGAGGAGTGACTGAGTTCTTGGTATTCTCCGACCTTGGTTACTTTTTTGCAGACATTTGGTTACTTTCTTGCAGACCCAACTAGGGAATATCATCAGTGCTAGAAGGGAGGGGGATTTGGGGTGAAGGGAGGAGGAAGGGGGGGAGGAGGAGGAGGAAGGACTATGCAGTCCTTGATGCTCTCTGAGGACCCCACAATTTAGCTTCTCATAGGTTAATTTTTTACTTCGTTAAACTGAAGTTAAGGTACATTATGTCTACTGCATTCCCACCATCTACTAAGAAAGTTATCCCATCCAAAAAAGGGGTTAGAGGTCGTTACGGCCATTTGTTCTTGACTTATCCAAGTTGAACTTCTGCTAAAATTGCAGCCTTGGTTTTTAGGAGATTTACAAAACAATTTTATTACGATCAACTCTACAGCAAGGCGGCGGGGTGGTGGTGGTTGTCCAAAACAAGTCTTATTTATTATATACAAAAAAAATATTTATCAATTGCCAGTAATACAAATCGTTTTTTTAAAAAAATACACGAAGTGCACACAGCACCCGAAGGGATGAATGTTTTAAATAAGGCTAGGTTTTACTCTGAGAATCCTTCTTTTCCTAATTCCAATTTGCATTCATCCCTCCAAACTCCTCCCTTCCCACCCTCACAAAAAAAAAGTTGAAAATCTATCCAAGCAAGCAAATGTAACTCAAGGTAATTTTTTTCTTCTCCAAAATATGATTTTGCAATCAAAGCCGGGAACATATTTACTGGGAGGATTTAAAGGGTGGGGGGAAAACTGATCAGTATTTTCGAGGGGGAAGGCTCGAAATCAAAACGGTCCTTTCCTTAACCCAAGGCTTCCCCAGAGAATGAATGTACATATTTACACAACCCAAGCAATGTTTGAAGTCTCCAACCGGCCTTCCCAAGAGTTAATTATAGGAGTTTTCGGCTGGGCCACCCCCACTGGGTCAAGGGGTGGTGGTATTTGACCGGTTTGGACCGGTTCAGTTGAACTGGCTGTTAAATTTGCATCTGGTTTGCTGAACCAGTATTTGAACCAACTGGCTGGCCCCTCCCAGCCCCACCCCTCCCAGGAGTCTCCACATGGCCCATTTTTGATGCGGATAAGTGCACGGAGGCTTGGGGGTGGGTGGGGGGGATGGGACTTCCAGAAGTCCAGAAACTGGCCTGTTTCCAGCTTCCGGTAAGCCTCCGGAGCCCAGGGGATGCCATTTTTGCCCTCCCAGAGGCCCGAGGGAAGCCTCCGGACTCTGGGGAAGGCAAAAAACAGCCAAACCAGAAGTACCAGTAGGCCATGCCCATCGTGGCCATGCCCACCCAGCAACCGGGCAGCGAACCGGTTGCTGGGATGTTTGAATCCCACCCCTGCCCTGGGTGACGTTGGGAGTGTCAAATTTCCCTGCCCCCCAAAAGATGCCAGTCTTGTCAACATCTGCCAGAGTGTGAATTCTAGGGGGGCAAAAGTAGCAGAGATCCCAAATGCCAAGGTTTGAGGGGGGGAACTCCCACCAATGGTTGGGGGTTTTCTTTAGATCAATCCGACTTTTGTTTAGGGACACCCAGAGGCTATCTTCTCCTGATGGATCGGTTTATTAAAGGGGTGAGGGGGTCCTACCCAGGAAACCTTACTATAGCACTATTCCTCAATCTCGTTGCCTCCAGATGCGCTGGACTCCAAACCCCATAATCCCCGGGGTCAAAAGGATTTAATGGGAGTCTTCCATCTCCAATCCTTCCTCGGGCAGCCCGAGAAAAATGCACCAAGGGATTAACAATGCCCACCTTCCTCCCTTCAGGGCCAATCCCCAATGAAAATATTAAAATATCTCTACTTAAAATAGGATCCCTATTTTAAAAATAAAATAAAATCAACCAATTCAATTGAAGGAATAATAAAACAGGTTAAGAGGGGGGGGGGGAAGAACTCCCCGAGAGGGGGATTTAAAAGTCTAAAGATGCCCAGCTGGGCAGCAAAATCCAGGCTGTTCCAAGCTCAGTGGCACATGGGTCTTGGCAGTGGCCTGGGGCATCTAGATGTATTCTCGGCTACTGGGGGGTTTGGAGATGGGCTTCCCTGCAGGATACTGGCGGTTCTTGTACCCGGAGGAATCTCCCGGACACGAGCAGGAGAGCATCCCACCCCCCAGCAGCGACAAGGCGGCACCTGCCCAGCCAATGAAGATGGCAGGGCCAAATTCATACCTGCGGCAGAGAAAGAGACTCAGTGTGAGATAGTCAATGGGGTGGTGGTGTTTGGAGAGGACTCTCCACCCCCTAAGCCCCTCCCCACTTCCCTGTCTCTGCAGCCCCGGAGAAAGAATTTGCTGGGTGCGTGAATTCTAGATGAAAAGGACTCTTCCCTGGAGCAGTTACAGGGTGCTCTCCGGACATCACCTTGCTCCGGCATTTTTCTCACGTTCTCTTCCTACCTCAGAAGCAGCAAAACGGGGGGAGTGAGGAAATGCCAGAGGTGGGGTGCTGAAGTAGCCCCCCCATCTCGAAAGGGACACATTCCCAATGGGCCAGGGAGGAAGGGGCAGGGCCAGAAGAAGGGAATCTCAAGTTTGAAGCTGAAAGTTATTGTAAGAGAGATGCACCACATTTTGAGGGGCAGGGCAAAGTCAGTCGCAGCCACCCCTTTGCTCTGGAATGGGCAGTGGGGTGTCTACACCCCCACCGTTCCTCTGGACAACCTACCTTTTATTCATGGGGGACAGGGGGTTGTAAAAATCTTGGACGATCTGGTTTGCACTCCAGGAACAAGCGACCAGAGAACACAAACCTAAGCGAGTGGAGAATAAAAGGAAAGTCACAAAATAGTTTGAACTTGGTTTGATGGTTCTTTTTTTCCTCCCCAGAGGTGAGATAAACCTATCTAGTGAATAAATTTGATATTTGGGGTAGTTTGCCATTATGGAGACCAGCAAGGTCTACTTTGGGCTTACAGAAAAAAAAAAGGCCAAAATATGTTTGCTACCTGTACAGGAAGTCCTTGACTTGCGACCAAATTGAGCCCCGAATTTTCTGTTGCTAAGTTGGAGTTTTTTGCCAAGTTTTGTCCCCTTTTGCGACCTTTTTTGGCCCACGGTTGTTCAGTGAATCCTGGCAGTTGTTAAGATATTAATGTCAACTAAAAAAATACTTCTTTGGTGTTTTTAGTTGCCAGCAGAAAGGGAGTGGGGGAAAGCAGTGCATTCCTTAAATGCTTCAGATAATTGCTAGGCAGCCAAAGCTGTTGGCGTGCAAGATTCTTACCGGAGCGCGCGATTGAGGACTCTTGGCTATGGAGGTGTCCCATTGGAGAATATACATCCAGAGGGTGGGAAGAAGACCGGAGTCAAGGGGGAAATGAATGATGTGTTTTAGTGTCGGCTGCAACCAGGATATGCCGACATGTCAACTCCAAATAAACCATTTTTTTTTACTCTGAGAGATGCGGCTAAAGACTTATGATTTGAATGGGGGTGCATGTTGGAGCCTTGACAATTAACATGGTTGTTCAACAACTCCAGTTTCACCACTGACTTGGCTTGCCGGAAGGTCGCAAAACGGGGGATCACGACACGACAACAGTCGTAAATAAGAATCGCTCACCAAGCGTCCATATTTTGATGTGATCCCGGGGATGCTGCAATTCTCTCATAAGGGTGGAAAAACAGTGCTGACGTAAGTTTGAATGGTCACTAAAATGAACAGTTGTAAGTCAAGCTAGATTAGACCTGTTTAAAAACTATATCCAAATGAATTGTGGTTGTGTTTATTCCTTGTCACGCTTATCAGGCTGGGCATAAAACCAGCATTTAGAAACAGGAAACACATCAGTGCAAACTTAGAAAATGGGTTAAAACAGGAATCGGCAACCTAAGACTCTAAAGCCACATGTGGCTCCGGAGCCTCTGCTCCCTGTTGCTCAAAATGTGTCACAACCGCCATTGTGTGACACCCGCCAGCACGTGATTTACTGAGCTTTTCAACCCCCAGTAGGTATTTGTGGCTCCTGATGTTTTCTTTTCTGTGGGAAACGGATCCAAATGGCTCTTTTTGAGTGTTTAAGGTTGCCGACCCCCGGGTTAACAGAAGGAGCTGGTTGTGGGAATGTAGCCGATAGGTGATCAAACATGGTCTTGCAATGTGCAAGAAAATTTTGGTGGTCTGCAAAGAAATGTCACCCCCCCCAAAGCAATTAATCCAGGCTGCATGGGAACACAAGGCTTGCATCGCTTGCATTGCGCACACGAGGTAGTGAGGGGAGAGGGGAAGAGCGGAGGGGGAGAACTTGCCCCACGCGCCTGGCCTGGCCAGCAGGCTGCTTCTTTCCGCTTCTTTCTTCTTCTGCTTTTGGCTGCATGCAAGGAAAGGAGCCAAAGTCTGTCTTTCTCTCCCCCAAACTCTGCCAGAAATGAGTCTTTGGGACCCTGTAAGGCCTCCTGCTCCAAGAGGCTGCGCCAGTGCGACAAGTCTCACAAAGACTCTTTTATGGCGGAGTTTGGGGGAGAGAAAGAAAGACTTCTGCGGCTTCTGCTGCTTTCCTTGCATGCAGCCAAAAGTCTCTCTCCTCTCTCTCTCTCTCTCCCCCTCCCTCCCTCCCTCCCTCCCTGAGAACGGAGCTGGAGATCCCAAATAAAGAATGATCGATCAGTAGGAAAACAGGGTGAGGAATTTTCCTGCAGACTTTTTGGGGGATTTTCCCAGGGTCTCTTGTCCGCGGGCTTTAACATTAGGAGCTTGGTGGTCCCTGAGGTCCAAAAGGTCGGCAACCCCTGAACTAGAGGATCTCAGGCAACGCTAAATAAAGCCAAGGCAAGAACGGGCTGCTTCCCTCAACGATGGAAGCAAAAGGTGGCTTGTTTTCATAGGAGCCCCCTTTGGGGCGACCTGCCCATGGGGGTACAGTGATCTCGTGCCAATGGGCTGGGGTCCCTGCCAGGTTTGGGAAGAAGGGACGGAAAGAATGGAAGGAGGACACTCACCCGCCACGAGGAAGACAATGCCGCCCGTCATGGCGATGCGGGCCTTGGTGACCTTGTCGTCTCCGCAGCGGGTACATTTCATGCCCATGGTGGCGATGCCAATGGCGATCACACCCATGACAATGGAGATGACCATCAGCGCCCGGGTGGCTTGCATGGTAGCTGCAGGGAGGAGAGGCAGAAACAGAAGGTTAGAGGGGCTCAGCTGCAGCCGGATTAAATAGAAATGTAATGTGTGGTGCGGTGGCCAAGAGGCGGAACTCTCGCCTCACAATCAGGAGGCTGTCAGTTCAATCCTAGGGAAAGGCAGATATTTCTCTCTCTGGGCACACTGAGAATATATCTGCTGAACAAAACTCCGCACTGGTGACAGGAAAGTCATCCGGACAGTAAAACCCCCAGCTCCATTCAGTTGCCATTCAAATTTGGGGGTCCATTGTGGAATGGAAATGAGTGGTGCAGTAGCCTAGAAGGGGAGTTTGCGCCCCATGATCAGGAGGCTGTGAGTTCGATCCCAGGTTGAGGCAGATATTTCTCTCTCTCTCTGGGCTTGATGAGAATATATCTGCCAAACAAAACTCTGCACTGGTGACAGGAAAGGCATCCAGCCAGTAAACACTCTGCTAGCTCCAGTCAGTTGCCCAGACTCCACCCCGCAAGGGATTATGGGGTAGTTAAAAAACAGAAACAAAAAATAGAAATGTAATAAGTCACAATAAGAACAATTAAGATGATTAAAGGCCTGGAGACTAAAGCATACGAAGAACGGTTGCTGGATTTGGGTTTGG